GAGGTAAATCAAAGATTGTTGAACAGATGGAATTCATTAAGATATGATTAATATATTTTATTAATATTTAGTCATGCAATCAGTAAGAATAAATACCTGTTGGCTCTCTATTCCCTTAGGAATACACCAGGTCTAGAGCACAGTCCTAAGTTAGCTTGGAGTACATTGATCAATCTCAGCTTTACACTAGCTGGCATAATTTCAAAGGAGGGGACACAACTCAGATGTCTCAACCTGCAACACACAAATTATTTGAAGTGACCTGTTTTACACTGTATCAGAGATAAAAAAAAAATCTCCCAGTCATGGTTACTTTATGGAAGGTATACTCAATGAATTGTGCCATAGTCACTGAAACTGCTTTCTGTCAATACCAAACAGCCAATTTCTGGCATAAAATTATTTACACCTTTTGCATTTAAATAAAATTAAATGAAAAGTGATTTGGAATATTACTGGTATGTACCCTAAATGACTGCACTGAACCGTAAACTTTGCTTAATTTCAGAAATATTTTATTTCAAAAATATAAAAAAAAAAATTCTGAGGAATTGTCAGGGAATGTACATGTACCATGATAGATTAATTTTGCTGGGAAATGAAAACAAAGACCAAAGGGCAAGGATTTTATTTTACAAACTAGATGTGTGTGGTAACACCACAAATGCCCCCACAGACAGCCAAAATTTCAAATTGCAAATTGTAAATTGCACATTTGTAGCCAAGATAATGATTAGAAATTGAGAATTTTTAAATCTTTTCCAAGTTCAATGGGGATAACTGTCAATACCACGACCAAATTCAAACTTGACCTGCATATTCCTATGACGTATCCATATATCAAATTTGAGTTAAATGTGTACAACTGTTGCCGAGATAATTAATGAACGGAAATTCAATGATGATGGAATGACAGAATGACGGAACAGGGTAACACTATATGCCCCCCCCCCCTCGGCCATTTTATGGCGGGGGCATAAAAATTCTGAAGATTAAAGGGTACCTATATTCTCCTCCATTTCAGATGACAAGGAAAGTATTTCTATTCTGCTAAGGAAAATTTTCAAACTTCTGAAAAAAAAAACAAGTTCAAGCTATAGATTTCCATAAAAGAAGTGTTGCAATTATGACTTGGCAATCCATTATTATAATTTTTATTTCCATTTCACACAACAGAATTTGCATCAAAATCAAAGAATGTCTTGATCCCTTTCCTTTAGTGAGAGCAGAAAAAATTAAAATTAGACCCAACTAGATCGCAATGTGTAGCAATCTTGTTGGAGCGGAATAAAGATCTAATTTTAGTTAGACTGAATTTATTTAAATTTGTTAATTTTTTTTTTGCGATTTATTGAAGGATAATGACTAGCGCATATTATTGATCGTTGCAATCAATCAGAGTTCAGCTTATTGTATAAAAGACAAGAGACAAAATGTACATAATTAAACCACAGGTGCTTCACGGGAACAGGAACACAACCCACCCCAACCCTCTAAATTTTGGGCTTCCCGAGTTATTTTTTGATTTATTTTTTTAGCATATATGTTGACGTATAATGCACTATAAAAATTCACAATTAATGCATAAATAAGCTATGTATAAAAATATACCAATGATATAAATAGAGAGGTTATTTATTTATTTTTTTTTTTTTGGGGGGGGGGGATACATCAGATACCAGAGACATATATATCTCTGGATACATATACATGTACAGCTTATTGCATCAATTGTGAATTTTTATAGTGCATTATACATCAACAAATGCTTTAAAAAATCATGAAAAATAATTCAGAGAGCCATTAATGTTTTTTGGAGGAGTTGCTACCCCCCCCCCCCTTTGCCTTTTGAAATCGTTGCAACGGGCCTGATGGGGGGGGGGGGGGGGGAGTCCTGTCCCCAAGCACCTGTGCATTAAACCATGAGTATCAGAACCTTAAATTGTAGAATTGCTGTTGGTTGGCTTGGAGCAAATCTCCCCACTTTTTTTTTCACAAAACAACATTAATTACGCCCAATAAAAATATTCAGCAAAAGTTCACTGTTCAACGGAATAGACCCCCACCCGATTTCTCCAACTTCATTTCGACGAGGATGTTAATTAAAGTAGTCTTTAAATTTGACCTATTACAATATAACTTAAATAAATATGACAAGTAATTCAGTGTTGTCTAGATTTAAAATTAGAAACAGCTGATTATTTCAAAAGCTGAGAAAATTCGGTCCATCGCAGTTGAGATTATTGCTAGCCTACTTTCGTTTTCCTGAATATAAAGACTTTCTAGCATGTTTATCAACAAAGAAGTCATTATCCTTTTGTTGTTTCAAACAAGGGATTTAGCATTTCTTTCTACATACTTCATTCTGGGATTGGGCATGCTGAATCTATTCCAGAGGCAGAGATGATCATCAAACATTACACTTCCTGCCATATGGTGTCTAGCCTCGCTTTCGTATTATAAGGGAGGAATAATTATTTCATTTTAAGGATAACTTGAAAAGAGATATCTCTTTCATTAAGAGAGATATCTCTTTAACTTAGAAAGATATCTCTTTTTGAAAATCTAAAGAGATATCTCTCTAACTTAGAAAGATATCTCTTTTAACGTTGTTGAAGAGATATCTCTCTCGCTTTAAGAGATATCTCTCTCGCTTTAAGAGATATCTCTCTAGCTTAAAAAGATATCTCTCTAAGTAAAAGAGATATCTCTCTTGCAAAAAGAGATATTTCTTTTGTTTATAGAGATATCTCTCTAGGTTATAAAGATATCTCTCTTAGTCAAAGAGATATCTCTCTTGGTCAAAGAGATATCTCTTTTAGTTAAAGAGATATCTCTATAAGCTAAAGAGATATCTCTCTAAGCTAAAGAGATATCTCTCTTATTGAAAGAAAAAATTATTTTACGAATAAATAGTAAAAGGGCTTGCCATATTGATTGCATCTCTGTACCTATTGAACATTAATGAAACTATTTAATTTAAAAAATAAATAACATGCAATCGTTATTGTTGGGTGCCATTTTAGCCATTATTGAAAAGAGATAATAATAGCAGAACAAGTTTTTGTTTCCCGGAGTGCAGAGACCGTGATAGCTGTTTGTAATACGCAAGTTTCGAGATTATCTCCCTTGGTGCGCTCTTCCGTTACAGAGGGGATTTTTTTGCCCGCGTAAACAGGCAGGTGAAACAGTTACTTATATGTGTGATACATTATATCATCGATATACCATCATAACTGATTGTCGGGATTCACTCTTCAACTCGAAATGAAATTTTTTCTACGAACAAAAAATCGGAACAAAAGAAAATAAAAATCGGAACAAAAGAAAACGATGGAAGAGATATGGATCTCTAAAAAATACACACGCATTTGTTCATTGTACATCGGCATTCTGAATGATTCTTTCCCTTATTATAACTTCAAAGAACTTTTTAGAAAAGGTTTGTGCAATCAAAGAATTATTCTTCTTACATAGGTATGACGGTTCTTCGTTTTCTAGTATCCTAAATGAAAGTAAATTTTTAAAATATGTATAGTAGAGCTTTATAAAACCATCAAAATAATCATTGCTTAACACTATCATCTTTCTATAACATTAAATGTATTTTAAAAGCCATAGCCATCATTCATTTATTTATGCACGTTTGTATACATTAACAACCTGTCCCACTTCCATGCTGATATAGATACTTTTTGCGCTCTATCGTAGGAGAGTTACAATCTCGAAACTCGCGTATGACCTTGATCACAGTCGAAAGAGATTTGAAAGTGTAAAGAAGATTTCAATATATTTTTAAGGGTACATCTGGCATTCTTCCTAAAGAGAGAAAATACTTTTTAAAAATAAAATTATTAAAAACTCGTTGACCACAGAAATTGAAAGTATGTGTTTTCAACATCTCTCTCTCCCCCCCCCCCTTTTCGCCGAAAATATCTATCCTTGCGTTCGGCAATGCATGTAAATTATAAAGCATTTATTTGACAATGATTAATCAACCATTTTTCTGCATAAAAAGACTAGAAATGACACATCGTCGATAATTACTCTCTAGTATTATAAGGGCAAGAGCGTAGTCCTGATGAAGTTTCATTTGAAAAAAAGTTCAATATTCCGTTGTTGATAATTGATTTATGTTCTTGATTTGGGGTGTTTTAATTCCGGATATGAATGTGTTATAGACTTAAAAGTTATATTGCATTTCATTGTGACAAAAAAGCGAATTGAATACCTTGTTCTGAGAGAAGAACATTATCAAATATTATGCAGGATAGAAGATTTGGAGCCAGTTAGTTGACTTTTTAACCCTAAGCTTACATGTATTTTATCGAAACAATATGTATACGACAGAGAACTGACCTCGTTTAGATTCAATTATTTTGAGTACATATACATGCACATGCAAATATTTGTAATAAAATTATTCTTCACAGTATTCTAAAGCTTGCAACTGCATAATCACCCTCAATGAGGACGGAAGACGTAGAAGGAAGTAAAAAGTGTGCTCCATAATTCTGAATTGAATCATTGTTATCACAAGGGAGCGTCATGTTTAATAATTTACTGACTTAAGATAAACTGTTGTAAAGAGTAAAAGCACTAGCTGCCACTTGTACTTGTTTACAAATACAGCGCAAATGAATAATCTAGAATTGTAGTAATAAATGGTGGAAATTGTTTAGGAATTGTTATACGCTTATTTACTGGCTATGAGGAAAATAGCAGTTTATTGTCCCTTGAGACATCTCTCTCTCTCTCTCTCTCTCTCTCTCTCTAGTATATATATATATATATATATATATATATATATATATATATATATATATATATATATATATATATATATATATATATAAAGAGAGAGAGAGAGAGAGAGAGAGAGAGAAAGAGAGAGAGAAAAGATATAAACCTCCCATGAGTTAGTTCCAAAGCTATTTTCAAACTTTTGTTAGATGTAACAATACTCAAAGGAAATTTGAAACTCTAAAAAGACAACTTACCGCACAAATATGCAGTCATTTTCCTTATCTTTAAAAAAATAACTTCGTCAAATAGACGCGTTAGTCATGTTAGTATGGCGTGTATACTTTAGTTGGTGAATGACATCTTCTTAATAACTTCCGCATAAATATTAAGGAATACAAACAACGCGATTAATTGTTGTTTTACTCGAAAAAAAATCCCTTTTGAAAACATACAAGTGAGAATACTGGTGGCAACTTGCGTTTCCAAAAAGTAATTGCCTTTACAAATGTAATATGACTTTGAATGAAATGTTACTAATTTTCTTCAACAAAAAGTACTGTGATGAAGTTTTCTTCATCTACAAGAGCGGAACGATTTTTTTTTTTTTTTTTTTTTTTTTTTTTTTTTTTTTTTTTTTTTTAATACAGATTTCTAAAACAGTAAAGTTAACATCAGTCAATCTTTCCGGAAACATTTCTAGAAGAACTCATAATGATGCTATCTTTTGTATAATAATACAATGTACGAGGGTTGTCTATAATGTTCTTGGACAACAAAGTTTTTTTTTTTTTTGTTTTTTGGGTTTTTTTTTTTTTATCAAAATGAATGGTCGTAGACATACTTATGGTATACTAAAATATTTGTTATGAAAATCCAAGTCAGAAGATTTTAGTTTTGATTGAACTATTTATTTCTGTAAAAACGTAGTCTTTAAAGGTCGCAGATAGTGCGCACCGCCTAAGGTGAAAACGCCATCAACTTTGAAATAAAGTGTTCTGTTAAAATGATTATTTTCTTTATAAAACAAGTCAAAGCAAACTTAAATGTGTCATAAATTAAGAGACTATCGTCATTTTCTATATCTTTAGTATCACTTACAATACAAATAGTGAAAATATTAAGCCAAAACTGAGAGAAATATGTTTCAAAAATTGAAAGAAAAATTACAAATTATGTTTTAATATAGTAAAAACGACGATAGAGACGAAGTATTTATTTAAACAATTTAAAATATTTTAATATATTTAGTTCATTCATTTTAAATTGGTGTATATGATTTTCCAACGTTGTGTACAATTTTGGAGACACTACCATAAGTGTAAAATATTATTATTTGATGAAAACAGGATATCCCTATTCACGACGTTGTTATAAATGTAGTGCAAGCTTGACTGGGCTGCGCAGCCCGTGTATAGGAGTACTGATCTGAATTTTGAAATTGAATCAATTATGGTCCATACATAAATATTATTGCAAAAAATGGACGTATGACATAATACAGAAAATATAGCATGTGCCCAGCCAATAACATGTAGCAAAAATTCAAAACCCATAATTTTTTTACGGTAACAATATCATGAATTTAGCTTTCATCAGACTGGGCCGTTCAACTTGCATTACGTAAGTGTCAAGTAGTGAATTTATGTATTTTACTTTTATTTTGATGTTTCAGCATCTCAAATTTGCCCCCCCCCCCCCCCCCCTTGTCTTAATGACAGTATTGTATGTTTTGCATTCAGCGTAAGAATTTTTCCTTAATTAATGTCAACCAGTTTTCTTTGATGTTTTATTTCAGTTTCATCATAATTGAAAAAGTTGTTATAGTATTTGTCCACGAATTTTATGGACAACCCTCGTTAACTTTGAGGCATGTCTAAACTATTTTTAAGCTTATTCAAATTACTTTAAATTCTCTAAGTTTTATGATGGGTATCAAAATCATCGTCTCATTACACACAATCTGAATCCAGAATTTGTGTTATTGCTACTCTAAATGGCGCTTGAAGTAACAAGTTTCGTTCAAGTCTGCCCATGAAAATATTGGCATAAGATGGGGCTATTCTCTTACCCATAGCAGTGCAATTAACCTGCACGTAATGTTCTCCATTAAACATAAATTGATACATTTGAGAACATGTTCAAGAAGCTTGACAAGAGACTCAGTCGAAGGAGTATGTATTGATCTACTGTCCCGGACATCTCTTCAGGCCTCGATACCATCATCGTGCGGAATGTTTGTGCACAGAGATGTAACGTCCAGTCACGAAATGTGGAAGACAAGTCGAGGGCGTCTTGTTGATATAGTCTGTGGTGTCCTCAAGATAGGATGGCAAATTTTCTACATGTGGACGGAGATGCAAATAGTTGTATTCAGAAATTTTCTCCGTGGGGTGTCTGATTGCACTAGCTATAGGGCGACCTGGCATGCCTTATTTATGTTTCTTAGGAAGCAGGTAAAATTGTCCTGGTCTACGGTCAATAGGATTGAGTGTCTTATAGACGTTTATACCAATCTCGTTATTTTCAAACATTTCGTCAAGAGTTTTGGTGATAGCGACGGATAATTCCTTAGTAGGGTCAGAGTCAAGTTTCTTATAGAAACGATCGTCTGCGAGTTGTCTATGGGCCATGTATGTCTCTTTGACAAGTACTACGACTGTAGAGCCTTTGTCTGCTTTCTTGATCACGATGTCATCCCGATTCTTTAATTACTGTAAGGTGGATCTCTCTTTCTTACTTAAATTGTCGGGGGCCTTGTCTGGCATGGAAAGGAGTTTCTCAATGTCTGACTCAACGGCGTCAATGAACGACTCAAGGGCCCCGCATTTACCCGGTGCAGGTTCCCAGTTGATAGAGTTTGTGTTTCTCTAGGTCCCGCACTTGTACAGTTACGCTATTTTGAGAGAATAAGACGGTGTACGATTTACTACCTGGTCTTAATTAATTTGCGATAATTAATTTGTTCAATTATGTAAATTGCACCTCACAGAGTACACCCGAGAGACCGTACGTATCTCGTAGTGATCCGGATCTTTTTCTTTAGAACTGGTTATAAACTTCAAATTAAACATGTAACATTGTAAATACATAGTATTTGGTAGTTTAGTTGTAGTGCTAGTTGTTTTTTTTTCTTTTGATTATCTGTTTTCTTTGTATTTATGAATTCTTAACTTTTTTCTTTGTCCTGAGAAAGGGACAGGGCGTCCAGAAAATTTGACAATTTCTATTGTTCGTGTCGTTGGTCATTTTTAGTGGTGGTGCTTTATATATATATATATATATATATATATATATATATATATATATATATATATATATATATATATATATATATATATATATATATATATATATATATATATAGTTAAATAGATACATGTAGATAGATAGATAAAATTGTACCAAAGTAAAAGTAGCAATACAACAAATTCCGGATTCAGATTGTATGTATTAAGACTTTTATTTTGATACCCATTAAAAACTTTAAAGAATAAAAAAGAAATGTTAATATGCTTAAAAGTAGTTTGAATCATAGTTTGTTTTGGACTTAATCAGCTGACATCAGGGTATTGACAGGGCCGTCAGAGAATATCAGGGGGCATCAGAGGTTAGATAGTGGTAGAAGGGGCAAAGTCAGGGGACATCAGGGAGTACACAGGGTTGTCAGGAACAACGACAGGGGATCATAGGTGAAAGTCATGGGGAGACAGGAAAATGTCAGGGACTGACAGGTTTTTTTTATCTAAGGGGAAAATCATCACAGTAGTGATTGTTTGAATCAAATTTTGAGCTTGAATACTGTTTGTTATCTCCATATTTTATAAACACTTAACTCAACTGAATGCTTCTATAATATATAGAGAGTTTTAAAAAATTAAACATTTAATAGTTCCATGAAATAAATGAATTAAAAATTAACCCTTTTTGTATAAATCAATATTTTATTCCCGGATAACATTGTCTGCGTGCAAAGTATTTTCTATGTTTCAACAAAATATAATTATACATCAGAAAATCCAAAGTGAAGTATTTCTGCTCAGAAAAAAAATAGCAACAAGCATATAGAGAGTCTTCATTAGTTTATTTTTGGACGGTTTTTGTTTCTTACAATTGGAAACCCTAAAGCCGGATATACAGTCAGATATCCTATATATTTGTAAATGACACATGTAGGTCAAACGTGTGCAAAATCTGAGTTCCTTTTTTTAAGTCTTCGTCAACAATTTATTTTGAAATTCTGTATAAATGTGTTAGTTTTTATTTTTGTTTATAATTGGCATGGTAAGTTTCTTATCATAAATATAACATATGACATATATAGTTTGGTTTTGCTCAACATGCAAGTCTAGAAAATCGTTGCGAGTAAGTAACTATATAATAGTTTGTAAGTGATCATTTTAGAAATGTTTTGAAATCAACAAGACAAAAAAATCTTAATATTATAATTCATTTTGAATGCATGACACACATGTACTACATTCTATACGTAGTATCACAAAGTATTATTATGATAAAATCACGTCTTCTATATCCTCAGTAAAAACATCAAATGTATAGTCTGTGAGAACGATTAAAGAAGTCACTGCTTTAAAAGAATTTAAGAGATCATTGAACAGATTGATGTCTATTTTTAACGAAAAAATAGTTACCTAGAAATTAAATCTTATTTTTGTATTTTAGATTTGAAAGTGAAAGAATATATTACAATTAGGGATGTCAACGAATATTCGAGTACTCGACTATCGTTCGATCATACCGACTATCGACTAAAATTTCTTTAGTCGGTTATTCGTTAAAAATGGGTTACCTGAAAGTAATAATAAACTTGGATTCGCCCATTCCATTTATATACAGATCAATGTTCTTGTAAGTAAAAGTATGGTTTAACTGCTTAAAGAAAATTATTTGTATGTCGATTTATGTCCGGCAAAATATGCCTCCAAAATCTACAGTTGTGGAATACTTTAAAAGATTTCAGGATGGAAAAGCAGTTAAAAGTACATTTTCAAGGTTATGTGAAACTGAACTTGTATTCTGCAGTGGAACATCAAATATGATGTATCATATGCCGAATCCGTCAAACATAGTTACATGTAGTAAACACAGTCTTCAGGTGAAACGTTTCTTAAGTAAGTTCTCCGCGAAATGCCAAAAAAAGCAGAGTCGGAAAGAAAATGTTGCTATCACAAACATGATTATCAAGGATTGTCTACCACTTATTGTTGTAAATGGAGAGGACGTTCAAGACTTGTTTGGTTTTGTAGATTCAAATTATAAAGTTTCAATCTGCAATTCCATAAGATCTAACGTAATGCAACTATTCATAATGAATAATTAAACAGCTGTTACAAAATTGTAAATACACGTA